CCCCCGAGAAACATCGAGGGCTCCTGGTTTAATGCACGCGAGGTTGGTAGTTCGTGGTACCTACACAAGTCATCGTGAAGAAACACAACTTCAACGCAAAGGTGAATGCAATGGATCTCTCGTCTCAACCTTGAATTGGTGGATATTTTACGTGTATTTTCAGTTGGCCCATTCCACTTCGCGGCCTTAACTCAGTTAAAACTGAGCCTTACATCGTTGGACAGCCTGGAGACTACTTTTTTTAAAGTAGCAAAGTATCCACAAAGTTGATTGCTTACATTTTCCCATATGTCGAGATTCAGACCAGTCTCGATCGCGTTTTCAGAAAGGTATCCGCATTGGTCGAATGGGTTGTAGGCGTACAGTAAGTGATACCGGATGGTCCAAGCAAGCTGGGCTGGCACATCAACACTCAAATAATCCTGTTTGCTTCAGTAACACCACTCGTCCTACCATGTGTCTACAACAGAGCTGTGGCAGGCAGTTCGATCTCTCCGGGTGAAATGCGCTGTCGCAGACCAAACAGCAGTCACACCATTAGCGGCGCTCCTGGAAGCATGTTGCTGATTCCATTCGTCCATTTCTTAACTTTCGCGCTCGGTGCAACGAGCAGCAAAGTATTTTGTACAAATGGTGATGCCCACACCAACGATGTTCGCGTCGGTGTCGCTTTCACGCTCCCAAGCAGAACGACTCGAGTCGATGATGAAGCAACAGGTGCAGGACGCTGTCCTCGCCCGCACCGTTCAGCTCTCCAAGGACAACAACCTGGACTCTGAATGGCGCTTCGTAAATTCTCTCGGCCAGCTCAAGACGTTCAGGGTTCGTGGAACGGACTCGTTTTGCTCAACCTCTTCCTGGGCAACAACACTGAATCGAAGCAACCGAGCCACCGCATGCAACGTGAACGACCGTATCAGCAGCAGTGGGCCGCACACCTGGGCCATTCGCAGTCGAAGCAGCGTTCAAAGTCGTCACCGACGGCTATCGTTCTCCCGTCGCACTGTTGGAGCCACGCTTGGACGTCGCGATCCGCTTGACCCCCGGCCACCGCTACAGTCCTTCCGAACGTTCGGGCGCGTCCAAGGCAACTATCGCGACATTGTGGACGCGCACTACGCTTCTAACTCCGTCGACTTCGTGCGGCAACAAAGATTACTGTCCCCTGTAGTGATCGATGGTGCTGTTTTACACACCATCCGCGCGACGAAGGACAGTTATCTGGGCATCAAGTGGTTAGCTGAGAACTCATTCACTGGCAAGCGCGATGTTTGCTTCGTGGAGATGGTGGGCTACACCACCAATACAACCGGACAGGAGATCGGGTTTGTGGCGATGGCTTCGGTCGATGTACCCGAATGCCCAGAACTGACGGGATCTATGAAGCTAACGCGTGTGCGGATGAAGCGCACGATGCTCGTCGCACCGTCCGCGGACACCCCGAAGGGGACCTCCGAAGTCTTCGTTATGGGGGCCAGTGAGACGAACGAATCGTCAATTATTGCACACGCGCAGTACCGCTTTAACATGGCTGTCCTCAACGATATCTCACTCGTGATCGATTCCCAGAACATTGCAAAGCAGACACTGGCTCTACACAAGAATTGGGTCCCCGATGAGAACCGCCCTTCCTGCAGTATCTGCAGTCGCAAGTTCCATTTCATGTATCGGCGACGGCATCACTGCCGACTTTGCGGCGACGTTGTCTGCAAGACTTGTTACGTTACCCGCGCCGTGCCTGGTGCGAACATGGAAGAAGGATACGGCTGCAAACCTGCGGATAACACGGTGATTTGTCAGACCAAGTTCTGTGTGCGCTGCGTTATGGGCCTCCGCGCAATGGACAAGCGGCTGAACAAGTTCTCTCAGCAGATATCCAAGATGCTGTCGCTTAATGTTGAGAGTTTGAACATGTCAAGAAGCAATGTGGATAACCAGTCGCCCGGGTCGAACGTGCGCGACTCCTTCGTCACATACTATAAGCGCGGCTCCAAGCAAAAGCATACTCTGGATTTGGACCAACTCTACAAGATGTCCGCCTGGCAGAACAATGCCCCCGAGATTGATGACGACATCGAGACAAGTAGCACCAAGGCAGGCTATTTGGTTTCGTTTGGCTCTGGTGGTTCCAAGTACTTCCGACCTTCGCTGTCGATGGATCCGTTGCATTCCAACTCTTGTGGTAAACTCTCAAGGTTGAGCCGCCACAGTTCTGCGGCAAGTCTCGGTGGCGAACCGGTTGTTTTCGAGGAGAAGGTGGTACTCAACATGAATAAGCTCAGCCGGATCGTCGCAATCTGACTCGCTATAGAGATGCAAAGGAGGTGAGAGTACTAGTTGCAATGTCCGAGTAAACAGAGCCTAGCCGAAAGAAGGCAGGTAACGTTGTGCGACAGTCTGCGAATGAAGCTGACTTGATTGAAGTTCACCTTTTCCTGCGCTCTGATTGGTCAGCTGAAATAGTTGAGCTGGACTATTGTCGGGACTATTTTTTCAGGGGTCCCAGTAAGCTTCTAATATAACATCCCATACATCGACGCGTGTCCCGCGTCGGTTTGTGACGGACTATTTGTTTTGACTAATGAGAGGGCGTTAAGATGTGACATGGTTCACTCAGAATTTGAGTGGACTATTTTTGTGACTTTAAATAGTCCTATCTGTGACGGCCCATTCGCGCCAGCCATTCAACTCACAGCACATCGAGCGTCTCCAGTAGCTTCTTCCTGTGTGTCATCTCCTTGAACAGCAGCAGCAGCAGCAGCGATGGCCATGATGAAACGGAGACGCGAGAATGAGACCGGCGCACAGGCGGATGCGGCCGAGGAGGCCAAGAAGCAGAAGCTGGCCACGGCGGGCGGCAGCAAGTACATCAACAAGCAGCGCGTGCTCGTGTTCTCGTCGCGCGGCATCACGACTCGTTACCGCCACCTAATGGACGATTTCCGCAAATTGCTGCCGCATCACAAGCGTGAGGTCAAGTTGGACGCCAAGGACACGCTGCATGTGGTCAATGAAATTGCTGAGATCAAGGGCTGCAACACCACCATCTTCCTCGAGGCTCGCAAGCGCCAGGACCTGTACATGTGGGTCAGCCGCGTCGGCACGGGCCCCAGCGCTAAATTCCTCGTGCAGAACGGTCAGTGCAATGACTTCATTGTCTTCTATCCGCTTATTGTTTCTACGCTGTTTACTTACTGTTATTTATTTTTATGACGATTCAGTGCACACTATGGACGAGCTGAAGATGACGGGCAACGCTCTGGCCGGCTCGCGTCCTCTGCTGACTTTCGACAAGGCCTTCGATGAAGAACCGCACCTTCAGGTGATCAAGAAGCTCTTCACGCAGGTGTGGGGCACGCCCAAGGCTCACCCGAAGAGCAAGCCGTTCATCGACCGCGTCATGAGCTTCTACTACGCGGACGGCAAGGTCTGGTCCCGCAACTACCAACTGGCGGACGACGCCGACACTAAGAAGGCAGAGCTGGCCGCTCTCCACCGTGGCGAGGACTTGGTGCAGCTCATTGAGATCGGCCCGCGTTTCGTCATCACGCCCATCCGCATCTTCGACGGCAGCTTCGGCGGCCAGACGTTGTACCAGAACGAGCACTACGTGTCGCCCAATGAGAACCGCCGCGAAGCCAAGGCCGACAAGCGCGACCGCTACGTGTCCCGCAAGACCGCGGAGGTCGAGCGCAAGGAGCGCCAGCCCGAGCGTGAGATGCCCGAGGACCAGTTCGCCGATGTCTTTACCGGCGCCCAGCAATAAATACCTCTCACCTTCATGTCAGAAGAATCGGTTCAACACTACGGACAGCAGCACGTTGCTTAGGCATGATAACTTTATCCTAGACATTTTCACTTCAACGTGTTGTACGTACAATTTGTGCGTACATCTTTTAATATTCATCTTTCATTGGTCAAAATGAATTTTGACCAATGAGGAATAGGTTCTGAAGTATGTGCCACTTCACATAACGGCTCGGGGATGAAGGCGTTCAGCGCCTGGCGAGGCGGCGACGGAGGAGCCAAGGCATCGAATGACGCCGTATCGGAGCTGCAGCAGGTGATCTTGAAGAAGGATCTGATGATTCTGAGTCTGCAGACGCAGCTGGACGCGTACAAGGCGCGGTAAGGCGCTCTGCCGGCCGAGGATTTGGACAAATTATTGCAATCCGACGCGATTAACGAGCCCCAGGAGAAACGCAGCAGGGATTTAAGCGCAGACAGGAAGGAATTACCGCCAGATATTAACTCCACAGTATCCGTGACTGATGGGAGTGATTCTAAGCCTATTGAGGACAAGAAACAACCCACACCGCGTGTTGTGGTCACGTCGCCGCGTTTCCGAGCCTCCTCTGATGCGGATGAGGCTCGGGCGAAGATCCAGAGTCGCTCCAGTAAGAACGTAGTCCTGGACTTTGTGGAGGACTCGCCCATGTTCCGACGCCAGCTGGAGGGCTTCGAAGAATCCATTACTGGGCTCCGAGCACTTCTGAAGGAGCTCGTGGCGCACTCGAAAGAGTACGCAGCTGCAGGTAAACACTTTGGCCAGGAGGAGACAGCGCTGGCCGATGAGCTGATCCTACGCAAACACGCTCGAGCCATTTTCTCAACCAGTTGTCCGGAATTGGGCAGTTTGTCGGAATTATTTGGAGAGATGCACGATACATTGGCACAAGTGCAGAGCTCCAGGGTGAGTATGCTACTGGGTGTAGAGTCATTATTAAGCAGATCAATTCAGCAGTTCTCGGAGAAGGAGCTGCTGAAAGAGGCCGGAGAACTAAGGAAGGACGTGACGAGACTGGGAGAGGAGTACGAGACACTGCTGGGCAAACTACTGAGCAAATCGAGACAGCCAGGACAACCTGCTAATGGCACAGGTACACCTACTGGCGTAGGGGATTCAATAGGGACTCTGGGTCTTGGTAGTCCAGCATTACCAATGGGGAGCTATAATGGAGAGTTCACTATCACCGGAACACCGCCAGCCTCTGCAGCTTCGAGTGGCAGCAATAATAACACTCTTGGATCGGATTCTGGATCAACAAATGGCAGTGATAAACACCAACGAGCACTGGAGAGAGATGTAGTGGTGGCACATCGACGCTTTGAGCTCGCTCGCTTTGACCTCGTTCGGTACATGAACCGGATCGACTGCATGAAAAAGTTCGTCTTGGTGGAGTGTTTCAATTCGATTTTGTACGCGCAATTAGGTCACTTCCATGCGTGCCACGAACTCGTGAAGTCTGTAGAGCCCAGTCTTCGTAAACGTCAAGAAATGATGCAGGTTTCCCGCAAGGATTTCGAGCAGGATGAGCTCATGTGGGCCTCGCAGCGAGAGCTACTGGACAAGCGTTTATCGCAAGATGTCGAGGCCGTGAGCTCCAGTTATCCGTCAAGTGAATCGTCACCTGTGGCAGCAGGTTCGTTGAGTGTGGACACGACCATTGCAAGCGAATCGTTCCCCTCTCTCGACTTGCCTGTTGAGGTTATCTCGATCGATACATTGAGTAGTCGACAGACCGTGGCAAGTACTCCTGGGGGCGTCGCAAAGCAGGGTTATCTATTCGTTCGGAACTCGATGTTCCCAGCTAGAAGCTGGAAGCGCCGTTGGTTCCAGATCCACGCAGGCAAGCTCTTCCAGACCACGTCACGTGGTGGTACTGGGAAGCATCCGACGGAGAGTAGTCTGACGCTGGTGTGCGACCTGTTGCTTGCCCGAGTTCGTGAACTGGAAGGTTCGAGTCTCCCGTTCTGCTTTGAAGTTATCGACGCCAACCGCGCAAAGCTGTTACTACAGGCGGCAAGTGCTCGCGACATGATGGAGTGGATCGAGGCTTCACGACGTAGTACTGAGAGCGCGCTGGAGAAGCAAAGTCACCGACAAGAAGTGCATCCAGAGCAGCAATCGGTCATTGATGAACTTACAGAAGCCAACCCTTGTTGCGCCGACTGTGGACAGGAACCGGCTGAGTGGGTGTCGATCAATATTGGCTGTTTATTGTGCATTGAGTGCTCAGGTATACACCGAAGTCTCGGTGTTCACGAGTCAAAGGTGCGATCACTGGCCTTGGACTCGTGGGATATGTCTCTCCTCACTCTACTGCGCGACAAGCTGGGTAATGACACTGTAAACGTCGTCTGGGAGCACACAATACCTGACGGCTGGACCAAACCAACACCAACAACGTCACGAGATGAGAAAGCTCGGTTTATCAAGGCCAAGTATCATTTCCATGGCTTTGCCGAGCCAGACCCGACTCTGAGTGCACTAGAGGATGACGATAGTATACTAAAGCAAGAATTAGCCAAGCGGTTCATCGCTGGAGCTTCACGTGGAGATCTGAATGAGTTGATGTGGTGTCTGGCTCATGGAGTGGACGTCAACGTACGCGCTGGAGAGCAGAACGAAACAGCGCTACATGTGAGCGCTGCAGCCGGAGCTGCAACCTGCTGTGACTACCTTGTTGTTAATGGCGCGAGCCTAACGTTAACCGATAAACGTGGCCGGTTGCCTTACGACGCGGCCAAAGCTGGAGGATTCGAGGACATCAAACTCACTTTAATGCAGAAAATGAGCCTCGAACAATACCAGTCCTAGAGGAGAGGTGAAAACTTATAACATTGTATGTTTCGCTATTAAGGGCGTTTGATTGAATATTTTATGCTAACCATCTAGTAGTGTACGAGTCAAGATTAGTGTTTCATCCTGATGGGAGAATTTTACTCGTTACCCGGCCAGAGCGCGGTCGAACTGAAGCTTCTTGAGGCAACAGCGCTGTCTCGCTTCCGTCTTCGGAATGCATGTCGACATCTAATGAAACGCTTGGGTTTGTCTGCGCGTCTGCGTTGGCATCTTGCGACTCTTTATCGGTTAGATAGGGCATTACGTTGCAGCCCAGACCATTCCGAGGCGACGATACTGGTCGAGGAGATGACCAGGATCGACTCGAATTAATGTTAAACGGTGCGACGTGACTAGTATCGTTACCGTTGTCGAGACTTGAGCTAATAGCCAGCACTTTTTCTCCATTACTTGGCACATCTTTAGTCTCTCCAAGGCTCTTCCGTCTACCCGTAGAGGATGTTACTTCACCATTAGATGTAATAGGTTCCGAGTCTGCAATTGATGAATCTAACTCTGCAGCTTGTTCAGCCGCGATTTCGGCCGCTAAAGCTGCTTCTGCTTCCAATCTGGCTGCGTGTTGCTGGTTAGACTTTTCGCGAACATGAATCATAAACTCGACGAACTCGACGATGTCGATCTGTCCACTACCGTCTTCATCCACCACGTCCATCATCTCCTTGAGCTCCTCGTAGCTCGGATACTTTCCAATAGCCGCCAGTCCCGTACGCAGCTCGGCTTCTTCGACTGAACCACTACCATCCAGATCTAACATACGGAACACCTGCATGTACGAAGACACCACTTTGCTGTCGATATTGTGCTGCGCTCGAAGGGCTTCTACACGACGTATTAGCTCTTTCTCAGCCTCCATTTCTTGTGTAGCTTCCTCCATACTTGTAGTCACCACACCGATGAATAGAGTAATCAGCACCATGCCACCGAGAACGATGAAAGCACAGAAGTAAAGCACAGCTAGCATACCAGCGGGTTGGTGCTTACACTCGTATCCAAGAGCTCGATACCCATCGTACCCGTACAGATCACAGCCGTAGTAGTTGATATACAACACATCGCTCCATCCATCCATTGTAGCTAACTGGAAGAGCGAGATCATGGCGAAATGCAAATACTGAAAGTGGAACGGATCGTTTTCAGCAAACAACATATTCCCAACGATCCCGAAGACGTAGAAGCAAAGAAGTAGGATCAAACCGATGTAACCAATAGAACCCACACCTTTAATCAAGGCAGAGACAATAACTTGTAGCTGTGGGAATGCTCTCACAAGTTTGAGTACACGTAACAATCGAAGTAGTCGCAACATGGTGAGCATTCCTCCCGAGCCTTTTGTAAAACTACCGACCACAATGATAAAATCGAAGACATTCCATGCTCCGCGAAAATAATTCCAGGGCTCGAGACCTTCAGCAAGGATTTTCAAAATGACTTCAGCGGTGAACACGGTAAGAATGGCAGTATCCAACCCAGTAAGCAGTGCTCCAAGCACATCCACCACTTCTGTGGACGTCTGAAGCCCCACCATCATTCCAGCTAAGATGATGACACATGTGACGAAGAGCGAAAACTTGGGATGCTCCACGATTTTCGTTGCCACTCCAGAGACTTTGAGATACGCTCCTTTGATACTCCTTGAGTCACCTTGTTGCTGCGTTAAAATGTCCGTCAGATCGCAGTCATCCCAGGTCTGCATCAACACCTCGCGCATTTTTTGCCGTTCCCTGCGCTCAGCAGCAGATAGCTTTCCTTTCTTGTTGGGATCTGAATCGTTATTTTCTAGCGCTTCACCTGCTGCGCGTTTTTTCTCCGCTTCACGAGCCCGACGCTCTGCTTCTAGAGCTCGTTTCCGAGCCTTCTCAGCTCGCTTTTTGGCCTCTGCTTCTTCCTGTGCTTTCTTCATGTGCTCCATACTCTGCGTCATACTCATAGTGATGGCACCGATAAAGAGTGAAAGCATGACGAATGCCGAGATGAGAATAAACGTGATGAAGTATAATGTGGCCATAACCTGGTTCAAAGCGCGTTGAGAAGCCAACGAGGTGTCTGTAACATTGGCCCCATACACTCGCGTGACGTTGCAATACTGGAAACTTGCTGCAGAGTCAGGGTTCGACGAGTAATAACCACCATCGAATCGATCACATCCGAAGTAATTTATGTCCATGATCTGCAAAGACAACATATAAAAACGTAAGTAGTGAATAAAAAATAACAATGAATGTAGAAATCTTACGGTTGCCCAATTCTCGAGTGTACTCATTCGGAAAAGGGTGATCATAGCAATTGGAACACTGCGAAAGTGGAAAGTGTCGTTATCTTGCCAGGCGTACATTCCAGAGATAGCGTAGAGATAAAATACGAGGAAAAGCAGCAGCATGATGTAGCCAATAGATTTCAGACCACCGATAAGACCCATGACAATCATGTAGAGCTGTGGAATCCGCTTGACCAACTTCATAATTCTCATCAGTCGAAGCATACGCAGAATAGCGATACTGCTACCTCCAAGAGCAGACCCCCATATCGGTAGACTCATGATAATAATCGCGAAATCAAAGCAGTTCCATCGCATCTCCTTGCCCGAAAAGAATCGCCATGGATAGAGTCCTTCGGCCATAATTTTAATGAACGCTTCGAGGATAAACACGGAGAGGACGAACAAGTCTATGTCGTTTAGAATGACGCTTTCTCCGAGTGACGGATACGTTTGAAGCCCAACCGATAGTGAAGCCCACGAGATACACAGCATCACGACCGAGTTGAACCACGTGTTGTTGAGCGTCATAATGGCAATATTTGACAACCGCACATATTTTAGTTGAAAGCCCGTGAGGCCGGTCAAGGGGATTAGACGAATCAATTCGCTATTTCCCTCTTCAGAAGTACTGTTGTCTTCGTTTTTTCCATTAGCTGAGGTATCATTGGATGTGGTAGTTGTTGGGGTGAGTGCTTTTGCTTCATTTTGAGTCGCAACTTCCTCTGTTTCTCCTCCCTCTTCGATAAGAGGCGTTGAAGTAGCGGCAACATTGTTTTCTTCTCCGGGCTCTATATCATGAGCCACATTCCACTCACTGGCCTCTTTTGCACGTCTTGCATCTGCAACCTTCCGATTCGCGGCAGCTCTTGCTGCAAGCATGTCTGTATTGAAGCGTACCGGGGTATTCCGTGACTGGAGTGTGTACTCGTGTCCAAGTGATTCGACGATTTTCTAATCCACCGCGGCCTTTTCGCCCCCCGCCACGGCGGAGCGGGTCTCCAAGTGCAAACACTATTTCAGCAGACCAGGAGATGACGGTAACGCAACGTCCCTGGTAGACCACTACTATGAACGCATTGAGCAGGACGTGGTTAGACTGCTCTAAATAAAGCGGCCTGGAAAATGGGAAGTAAGCAAGGTTATATATGGGGAGTGACAGATCAAGCCATGATTCTGAGCAGGGACAACCGTGCAACAAAAGCGAAAGGCGTCGACATCGAGAGAGTACAGCGGGTCGAATGCTCTAGCACACGCGCTTTTAAGTGCGTTCATCTAACTTAACATCACTTTATGCTATAGCTTCAATTGCGAAGCACCGCTTCGCAGAGTGGTAGTGACATTATCCTTCCAGTTTTCTGAATATTAACTATGCTGGTACCACGATATTTTTTTTCTTTTCGTACCAGTTAGATCAATACGATGGAACTCCCATTATTGCTGCCGACAACTTTGTTATCGAAGAGATCAGTGACGGAGTTACAACGACTTAGTCGCGAGAGTCCACGAAGTCTTGTGTACGAACCCGAATGCGGTAAATCAACTGATATCGACGACGATCGTAATTTGCTCGAGCCAAGCGAAATCAGTGATCCGACTCCACCAACCGTGACCATCGCGAAGGTTTTCTTGCGATCAGCAGTTGTATTCCACGGAAACTCCACATCAGTACGCTTGGATGTATCAAACTGACCGTGGTTGTTTTTGTAAAAAGTGAAGAAGGACGAAGCGCAGGGGGTTGAATCAGGAGAGTCAAGTTCGAGGAATTCCTCAAACGTTTCCGTTGCCGATATATCCAACGCGTCGACTTTGAACGCGAGCATCTTCGACACTTGTGGAGTGAAATCATCAAGTCGTTTGTCGATAGCACGAAGACTAACGATGCAACGCAAACAGAACTTGGTCCGGCAAACGGCAGAGGTGTCTGCGACTCTGGAATTTTCCATCTCCTCTCGACACACGAATCGATTGACGTAGCAGGTTTTGCAGATGATGTCGCCACACATTCGGCAATGATGTCGTCGACGAGAGATGAACTGGAACTTGCGCCTGCAAATGGTGCACGAGGGACGACTCTCGTCAGGGATCCAATCTTTGTGGAGTGCGAGTGGTTGTCTGGTGATGTTCTGGGAGTCGATCACGAGTGAAATGTCATTTAGAATAGCCATGTTCAGTCGATACTGGTTGCTCGTAGTAGACGCCTCAGTGGCACCCATGACAAACACTTCGGACGTCGCCTTTGGATCGTCTTTTGTGGGAATGACTAACATCGTGCGCTTCATCCGAACACGCGTTAGCTTTACGGACCCAAGTTCAGGGCACTCTGGGACATCAATCGAAGCGAAAGCCACGAAACCAACTTCTTTTCCTTTGGTATCAGACGTGTACCCCACCGTCTCGACGAAACAAACATCGCGCTTACCGGATAACGAGTTCTCAGCCAGCCACTTGATACCCAAATAGCTCTCTTTTGTCGCGCGAATTGTTCTCAATACAGCGCCATCGATCGCCAAAGGTGACAGTAACTTTTGTTGGTGGACAAAGTCAGCGGAGTTAGCTGCATGGTGAACACTGACAATGTCCCGATAATTGCCTTGGACGCGTCCGAAAGTGCGGAAGGATTGGAGCGACTGAGATTTTTCATGGGAGCGAACACCGTCTATAGTTTGGCGGGTCCAGCTACTGCTTCGGTTGCGCTTGTTGTAAGTGAGCCCTCCTATAGTTGAGCGGTCGTTCAAGTTGCATGCTGTGGACCGTGTGGTTTTCTCGAGAGTAGTGGCCCACAACGATGTTGAGCTGAAGGAATCAGATCCCCGGAGTTTGAACGTCTTGAGCTGGCCCAATGAACCAACAAAGCGCCAGCCTGAGTCCAGCTCGTTTTCTTTCGCAACCTGAACCGAGTGGGCGAGTAACGCGTCTTGAACTTGTTGTTTCATCAAAGTCTCGAGCATTCCTGCTTGATACGCTGACAGCGATACGGGCGCAAACGTCTTTGAGCTGGAGGTCACCATTGTAAGGAAGTCTGTTACCTGCGCAGAGAAGTCGAAATTCAAGAATGAAGGGCTTGATGTAGTGGTATCATTAACTAGACATGGAAAAATGCACAACCACTAGTGCTGTTCTTTCGAGTCATCTGCGACAGCAACATGTCGCTCAGCAATTTGAATATTTCATACCAAAGAAGCACAATACACATGGCAAGAGGCTTGGTCGCGGGGTAGTGATTACTCTAGACCCACCGAATGTTAGCTTGAGGTTGAGTGCAAGCGAGCTCGCAGTAACCAATAATCAATGATCCAGTGCGGAATGTGTGGAAAGGCACAAAAGTTGAAACAGATTCATTGAAACTCGATTCAGAGCTGCGTTATTAATATCAGTTATGTGGACATTTGACTTGCGACGTTGGCACTAATCAACAGTGTATATTCCCTTTGCTTTCTCATGATCAGTAGTTACAACTGCCGTGATGCAACAACTCCATGACGTTAGATATTGTCAAATTTGAGTATCGTCTTCTTTTCAAGTAGTGGGTGTCTTTACCTCGTCTAGTCGACACTTCAGTGTTAGTCTTTGGTATTGGTCGCAAATTAGTAATTTACGAGAGTTATTGCTTAAAATCGACGTGCTGCGTATTGCGCCTACTTCTGCTTCAATCGCTGAGGATAGCAAATCACCGATTCACTCGATCATAATCTCTTCGCGGTTCCTGCCCTCTTTCGGCTAGCGACTATTTGCTCCTTTAGTTAAATTGCGACGATCCGGCTGAGCTTATTCATGTTGAGTACCACCTTCTCCTCGAAAACAACCGGTTCGCCACCGAGACTTGCCGCAGAACTGTGGCGGCTCAACCTTGAGAGTTTACCACAAGAGTTGGAATGCAACGGATCCATCGACAGCGAAGGTCGGAAGTACTTGGAACCACCAGAGCCAAACGAAACCAAATAGCCTGCCTTGGTGCTACTTGTCTCGATGTCGTCATCAATCTCGGGGGCATTGTTCTGCCAGGCGGACATCTTGTAGAGTTGGTCCAAATCCAGAGTATGCTTTTGCTTGGAGCCGCGCTTATAGTATGTGACGAAGGAGTCGCGCACGTTCGACCCGGGCGACTGGTTATCCACATTGCTTCTTGACATGTTCAAACTCTCAACATTAAGCGACAGCATCTTGGATATCTGCTGAGAGAACTTGTTCAGCCGCTTGTCCATTGCGCGGAGGCCCATAACGCAGCGCACACAGAACTTGGTCTGACAAATCACCGTGTTATCCGCAGGTTTGCAGCCGTATCCTTCTTCCATGTTCGCACCAGGCACGGCGCGGGTAACGTAACAAGTCTTGCAGACAACGTCGCCGCAAAGTCGGCAGTGATGCCGTCGCCGATACATGAAATGGAACTTGCGACTGCAGATACTGCAGGAAGGGCGGTTCTCATCGGGGACCCAATTCTTGTGTAGAGCCAGTGTCTGCTTTGCAATGTTCTGGGAATCGATCACGAGTGAGATATCGTTGAGGACAGCCATGTTAAAGCGGTACTGCGCGTGTGCAATAATTGACGATTCGTTCGTCTCACTGGCCCCCATAACGAAGACTTCGGAGGTCCCCTTCGGGGTGTCCGCGGACGGTGCGACGAGCATCGTGCGCTTCATCCGCACACGCGTTAGCTTCATAGATCCCGTCAGTTCTGGGCATTCGGGTACATCGACCGAAGCCATCGCCACAAACCCGATCTCCTGTCCGGTTGTATTGGTGGTGTAGCCCACCATCTCCACGAAGCAAACATCGCGCTTGCCAGTGAATGAGTTCTCAGCTAACCACTTGATGCCCAGATAACTGTCCTTCGTCGCGCGGATGGTGTGTAAAACAGCACCATCGATCACTACAGGGGACAGTAATCTTTGTTGCCGCACGAAGTCGACGGAGTTAGAAGCGTAGTGCGCGTCCACAATGTCGCGATAGTTGCCTTGGACGCGCCCGAACGTTCGGAAGGACTGTAGCGGTGGCCGGGGGTCAAGCGGATCGCGACGTCCAAGCGTGGCTCCAACAGTGCGACGGGAGAACGATAGCCGTCGGTGACGACTTTGAACGCTGCTTCGACTGCGAATGGCCCAGGTGTGCGGCCAACTGCTGCTGATACGGTCGTTCACGTTGCATGCGGTGGCTCGGTTGCTTCGATTCAGTGTTGTTGCCCAGGAAGAGGTTGAGCAAAACGAGTCCGTTCCACGAACCCTGAACGTCTTGAGCTGGCCGAGAGAATTTACGAAGCGCCATTCAGAGTCCAGGTTGTTGTCCTTGGAGAGCTGAACGGTGCGGGCGAGGACAGCGTCCTGCACCTGTTGCTTCATCATCGACTCGAGTCGTTCTGCTTGGGAGCGTGAAAGCGACACCGACGCGAACATCGTTGGTGTGGGCATCACCATTTGTACAAAATACTTTGCTGCTCGTTGCACCGAGCGCGAAAGTTAAGAAATGGACGAATGGAATCAGCAACATGCTTCCAGGAGCGCCGCTAATGGTGTGACTGCTGTTTGGTCTGCGACAGCGCATTTCACCCGGAGAGATCGAACTGCCTGCCACAGCTCTGTTGTAGACACATGGTAGGACGAGTGGTGTTACTGAAGCAAACAGGATTATTTGAGTGTTGATGTGCCAGCCCAGCTTGCTTGGACCATCCGGTATCACTTACTGTACGCCTACAACCCATTCGACCAATGCGGATACCTTTCTGAAAACGCGATCGAGACTGGTCTGAATCTCGACATATGGGAAAATGTAAGCAATCAACTTTGTGGATACTTTGCTACTTTAAAAAAAGGTAGTCTCCAGGCTGTCCATCGACGGAAGGCTCAGTTAAGGCCGTGAAGTGGAATGAAGCTTGTGGCAACGATATAAAATGCATTATTAAAGTGTAGATTGCTGCATCATCTCAAAATTCGTTGCCATCACGCTGCGTGATTGCAGTGAACTGTGCGATGGTGTCGTGATTCACGCTGAACACAATTGATGAAAACCTTATCACGGCGCACTACGAGTTCTCACGTGTTCTACATCGTTAAAAATAGGATGTTCCCGGAAACATGGATTGGCAGCGAATAGTTTCTGCTTCTATTTTTCTTGGTGGCATCTTATGGGCGAGTGGGAGGGCTCAATGTTACCAACTGGCTTCAGTCTGAATGCTTCAGCTTGAATATCTACCCACAAGCTGATCCAAGATCATCGCGCTCCTATTGCTTGCTTTGCTCTCCAGATTGCGCCCGTTGAAGATCGAGACTGCTTTACAGTACCCTTCGTCCTTTCGAGCGTTCGCGGGCGCTAACAAGACCAATAAAAGCGATCGCGGATTGCAGGACAAGTTGAACACGGCAAGAAATTCACTATCAAGGATAGCGACGGGCGTTTAACAGATCAGATTCACTGTCGACTTCGTCGATGAATCAGCACCTTGTGTTGTGAATTCCAAACACTAAATATGCTCAAATCCACAAGCAGCAGCTCGTAACCCAGGTTCCATTTTCTTGAAAGGGTTCGCGATGTGAAGAGCGATGAGCAGCCTGCAGTTTTTGCGGAAGAATACACTCCGTACATGTAAGCGGGATGAGCTTGCGTGTTCGTCAATGTCCATGTTTAAATCAACAACCTAAGCTACGCTAAGACATTGTTTGCTCCACATGTACACCCGTGATCAAGTTGAGCTACAGCTACACGTTGCTGCTGCTCTCCCTATGTAAGATTACTTCTTTTTATGTTTGAGTAGGGAGTTTCGCTTATCGAATCCCCACAACAAGGCGGATCTCCTGACCTCAAATTGATTATATCCATATTACCCATGTCGAGTACCAGAGCCTGCATTTTAGAGCTTCTGCCATGATCCTCACCAACGAATTTATTGCAACCGGAACGCGGTTATCGAGCCTGGCATTTATGGTGAACGCGGCTCACTTCAGCTTCAAAACACTTACCGTAATTTTTCCTTTTTAGACCATTGTGCGTTCGTTATTTTTTTTTTAGGCATAAACATCACGAAGCCAACTGCCGCTAGCCTTAGCTGGCACTTGAGGGGACACCTCAATCCTCTCGACGATGAGCTCGTTCGAGGCACCGAAAGCCGCACGCTCCGGATCGCGCGTGGCAGCGCTAGGCAAACGTCCGTCGCTCGTGCACCGCAGCTCCGATCCCGAGTTCAGCGACGCCGAACTCGACGGTACGACTGGCAAAATCCTTAATCTATAGTCAATGTTTCGCTAATTCGCCACTCCTCTGACCTTCAGATGCCGTGGACATGGGCGAAAACGCCGTGTGGGCCAACCTAGAGGAGCCTATTTACGCCGAAAAGGACGTGGAGGTCTTCCGACCGACCCAAAAGGACTCAACCTTGCCCGTATACTACGCGAAAGGTTGGCTGCCATATTCAGCCGACACGCTCTTCGATACGCTCATGGACGCTCGATACCGCAAGTCCTGGGACGCTAATGTGCACCAGGTGCATGTGGTGGAGCACCAACATGTCAGCGACGTCATGTATTTCGCTCTAAACTTACCGTGGCCGTTAGCCAATCGCGATTACGTCTACAGGCGTCGGGTTAAATTCTACCCGACCCAAAATGCCTTCGTGGTGTTGTGTCAGGCTGCTCATCATGCAGACGCACCGGCCAATGGGGTCCGTGTGAGAGTGGAAATGTGTACACTTCGCCTGTGTATCCGCAGCATGTCAAGCTCTCATGATTCCTGTGACTTCCACCTCGAATACGAGGATGATACCAACTTTAGCATCCCCAACTACGTGGTGAATATGCTGCTACACACCATGATGCCATCGTTTATGATGGGGCTACGTAAAGCGTGCAAAGGGTACGCGGACTACATCAAATCTTTAGATGACAATGGTGTGCAGAGCATTCCGTCCCAAGTTGTACGCCAACGCAGTGCAGTTCTGGCTGCAGCAGCTGCGTCAGTAACAGGTAGTGTGAGTTCAACTGGTAGTAAGTGTGCGATCGGTGCTTCTGTTACTGAGGAACGAAAGCCTGTGCGGGCCAGTCCACGACCACGAAGCAGTTTGTTCTTTCTAGCCACAACCAAGAGGAAGCCTGGACTAATGCGGCTTGATACTGGCGAGCATAGCAGTATAAGCGAGGACTGGGATGATGACACGCCTCGTAGTGAACCCCCCACAACTCGAAGTTTACGACCGTCCCCCATACACCGATCGATCTCGACGGAGATCGGAACCAGCAATGGAGATCTTAGAGCTCATCTCAGCCACTCTTCGTCCGCCAACAGTCTCGACTTCCTGGCTTCGTCGTCGGCATCCGAGTTTTCTCGAGTTAGGTCTGCTCCACGCAGCGGGGACGGGCCGTCGACGCCACTGGACGACGACTTTTCTATCCAATTCCGTAAGAAAAAAGTGGGTCTGCATTTAGAGACAGATCTCTACTCCAACAAAGTGCTCGTCGCGTTCTGCGAGAAAGAAAGTGAAGCCGCAATTTGCGGGGAGCGTATCGAGCCGGGATTCCTCGTGACCTCAGTAAATGGAGTTTCGGTGAGCGATTTCAACTTTACTGACATTCTGGGCCATATCCAGCGAGCTCCACGGCCTCTTACGTTAGGCTTTACGCACCCAGATCGCGAGGCCTCACTTCAGTATCGTCGCTTTAAGGAGCCACAAAACGTCCTGCGATGCCTTGTTTCTCGCGATGAAATCGATTTGCTTGGAGCTCTACGTCCGCTCGATGAAGACGCCGCAGTAAGTGCTGTTCTCAAGTGCGACTTTGTCGCGCCAGCTGCTACTGCTTCTGCTAAGGCAACTTTGAGTCCGAAAGGCAGTAGTCCAGCACTATTGGAGTCTCCGTCGAAGCAGTCTAGTGCCCCCAAACTACAACCTTCCGTATCTTTGCCTCAGTCTGGAACGGAACGTGTGCTGGTTCCAGCAGGATACCTGGTCTACGAGATCAACGACTCGTACGTCTTGGACGTGCCATTTGCTGAGATCGCTCACTTACTGCGTCGCAGTGGGGACGTTTGCTTGGTAACGTTCAAAGCGGCGATGGCGATTGTGGGCGGACCGAAAAGAAAGAGTAAACACAAGATCCCAAGACGCCTACCAGGCGTGTTCAGGAAAAAGCGCAGAGCGTCTGATGCCAGTCTTACAGCTAGCATGAGCTCGACGTCGTGGGCTAGCGGGAAGAGTTTATCTCAAGGAAGTTCTGACGAAACAGGCCAACAAACTGATGCGGACTGTGGCCTGCCGGACTATTCTTCTGTCATAATCACTGCGAGCAATATCGATTGGGTGTGGCAACAAGTACTGCTCTTGAAAGCCACAGAGCGCATTTTCTCTGCTGCTCTTCTGATTGACCGACTTGAGGCATTTCTAGCTGATACTGGTAACGCTAACAAGACTGTCGCAGCCGCAAAAACGAAGATACAGCATGCAATGCATGATGAGCAGGAGATGATTGGCCACGTTAAAGAGCGACGTGATCAAGGTGTGAAAGCACTGAAGGAATTTAACGATAAAGAAGGTGACGACGAATGGCAGTTCGGTCAGACTATGCTCGGAGTTACCACGTCCTGGAAGCCTGACGAGGACGGCTCTGTATGGATCAAGCTGGAAGGTCTCGTTGACGGCGTGGATATCTTCAACACTATCTCAGTTATCCGCGAGGTGGATCTCTACAGCGTTTGGACTCCGTTTTGCTCCCAGTCTCTGCTGCTACAGGCTATGGGTCACGTGGAACTAGCAGCGTATTTGGCGATCTCGTCCCCATTCTTACAGCGTGACGCAATCATCCGAGCTTTCGGTATTAATGCCGTCTATGAAAACCGCTGTCTGCTGTTACTAGGAGGCTCTGTGGACGTGTCAACAGTGACGAGCGCTGTTCCGGTCCCCATGTTACAAGGGTGGAATGCTGGACGTATGGAGATTAAGGGGTTCCGTGCGCTAATTGAGCCTCTAACACGCATGCAAGCTCGCACTTGCATCGTCGCGAACATCGATCCGAAATGTGCGATTCCAAAGCCCATGCTGAACTTTGGGATCAAGAAAATGGCTGGCATTCTGCTGTATCTTATCCGCAAAGAGGCCGAAAAGATCGAGAACGACCAAAAGAAAACAGAGACCAGCGCTGCAAACGAACATATTCGTCGTATCACCAGCGACCCAAGCGGCTTCTACACGTGGCTCCGACCCATCGTCGATAAGTATTTCCTTGATCAAAGCAATAACAACCTGTCAGAGCCTCTTCCATTGAACCCTCAGGTTGAGCACACAACTGGTGATGTGCCTCGCGTTAGTGATGGTGGAAGCAAGAGCACAAGAACCGGAAGTCCTCGACTTGCCAAGCGACGCAGTTCTACTCGAATCGCTGCATTTCAGCGCAACTCTGTCAGTTCTTCGACTGATGATACAAGGTCCTCAATGGAGACACCTTCAGCTTCAGCCAAGTGCTGGAGCGACTACCTGCACGACTTCGCTATCTGGCCGTATTTGCTGCTATTTATCTTCGCCAAGATGTCCGCGGATCTTCCTCTGCTGTTTGCGTGTGTGCTCAAGTTCGTCTTCACCTGTACGTGCACTTGGCTGGCTGTTCCCGGCGCGTTTCCTCGATCTACGCGACATTGGAAACGAATTCGTAACGAAATGGAACCTCTCCGACATCAGTGTGTTGTGCTGGCCGCCATCTGCGACGTCTTGACCTCGTATGCTCTGCGTATATGGGTACGCTGGGTCCAGTGTTACCTGAGTGCAGTGCTGAAAGACTCTTCTAGCTGCTTCTCTCGCTCGCCAACGGAAGTGCGCGAGTCGGATCAGTTCTCTTTAATGGTCTTCTGCTTCCTCTACGCCAGCGCCATTGTCGGCATGCAGATAGCAATCAACTTCTAAATGCTAAATACCAATGTTTATAAACGCAGCAAAGCTAATGCCAATGCGTATACTTGTACTTGCTCAACTATTGCAAAGTACACACAGGGCTCCCGAAAAAAAAAATGGCTGCAAAGTAATTTTGATAAATATTAGCGAATTATTATTTTGATGCTCAATCCTAAACGTATCCATAACTTATGTTTGTGACACATTAAAACAGGTAATTTATGAAGGAATTTACTTTCTACCAGTCATTGTGCTGCCACGTCTGACCAATTTTGCGATCATCACTTTCAAATTCACCAACAACGCCAGCAACTCTCATGGTCCTTGCCCCTCGTCGCCACCCTCGCTTCACTCCGGCCCAGGTGGCTGGTTTTTTTTTCTTTCAGCCGTGCCGCGACGACTACGATGAAGATATCCCCTAATATCATCGTTGTCGTTGCAGCACTGTAAGAAAGCAAGCCCGGCAAAACGGGTATTCGAACCTGATATCCCATGTTCGAAGTGAACACCCTTCGTACGAGGACCTCATGCTTGCTGCTACAACCATCCTCAACTATATTCGGCGTTCATCGCTTAATCTCTTCAGTTGGATGGAATGGATTTTGAAGAACAATCTGCCGCTATCGTTCTGCGAGAACGAAGCCGCTTGGCGGTGAGAGTTTTTGTTTTAATAGTTTATTGTAAATTTCTAACGTAAAGTTTCAAAATTGTTTTGCAGATATTCAAATCTTGATCCCATATGTGTTGAGACCCTCGTCTCAGGGATGGGCAGCCTGGCACGGTCCGTCGAGCGAGTCATCGCTGCTGAAATGCCCGACCGTTTCGGCCTCATCTTTGACGGCATGACGCATGCATCGGAACATTATATTGCTGTATACGCACGCTACGAAGTCGACGGCGTCGCGAAGACGCCGCTACTGTGCATGGCACCTCTTCTGAGTGACGAGGAAGAAGACCTGTCAGCTAGAGGCCACATGGAATTCCTTGCGACCATGCTGCCCCGTGGCTACTGGGGATGTGCTGCTTCCTCGTTGCTGACAACTGCTCAGTCAATCGCAGGCTGGCGACGCTAATGGGCGTGCCGCTCGTTGGTTGCGCCAGTGAACCGGTCAGTCCAACTCGAACTGGCAGACTACGAAGAAGAGCTGGACACAGTGCAGAAGCTCATGCTCAAGCTTCATACTCTGACGCAATTAGCCAAACTACGGTACTGTATTTTGTATTTTGTGTACTGCACTACAAATATCCCAGTAACAAATTTTGTCAGTGATTATTAATTTTTAGTTTAGAGCAAAAACTCAATTGCGACCGGTCATCCGCCAAGACACGAGGTGGAGGTCAACCTTCTCCATGATCAAGCACTACTTCGACCTCCTAGAGTTTATCGACGCCATCGATGATGAACTCGAAGACTTGATGCCCTCACCTGCGCAAAACCGCTGTCTGCGAGCTTTGCTGAAGGACTTAGCGAAGGTCGACTCAGTGGCGAATGCATTGCAGGGTACAGACGTGTCTATATTAGATGCGAGAATCTGGCTGGATGGGCTCATTGCCATTAAGCCACACTACTCCCGGTTCATCGATACGTTATATTACTAACCCTTTCGTGAACCGGTACTTTTGACCTGGCTATATTATAGTATAGAAGGTTTAGTCATTAGGCCATCAAAGGGGGCAAATGCTCCCTTTCATAAACTACGGTACTACAGCAAATCTTCTGCAAATCCTTGTAGTTCAAGTAGAAAGGGCGAATCCGCTTCGTCCACCGCACAAAAAATAATGAAAGGGGGGCATTTTGCCCCCTTTCGTGGGTGACACGAGTGGCACTCGAGGATACACCCTCCAAAGGGGGCAAAATACCCCCATTTACCACGAAAGGGTTAAGCTAGTGTGCTAACATTTTTTTTTCGTTTTATTAAAGGGCCACGAGCCGAAATTGTGCACAGCCCTAATTTTGAGGCGGGGTGCGTGAGGGTGCTGTCTGGCGATTCAAGTCGTTTAACACGCGCCGTAAAAGTCGTACTGGTTCCGTTTATAGCCACCGATCCACGCTCCAACGGCGAGGATGATGCTGAGGGCCGCGAAGAAGGTTCTTTGTCGAGTTGCTACAGAAACGACGCCGCCTTGCGTCGAAGGAGAACAAGTACCTCCTTGTGTCAATCATTCCAGCCACGTCCAATGTCGCCGAGCGCTTTTTTAGCGTTGCTAAGACGACATTTGGACGGGAACGACATGGACTGCCTCCTATCACCATCGTCAGTAGCCGAGCTGAAAGGAGACGCTCGTGGCAGCCGGAGCACAGCTTACTGGTGCCAAACTCGTCCATGGGCAAAACTCGTAAACATGGCTCCATGTTTTGTTTTGGGGATGCTGACCAGGGGGTGGAGGAGGCCATTGCCATGTGGGGTTACCGTGCAGTTATCGATGCTCTGAAGTCCAGATCGATATGCTTGTCGAACCAGCTGTGAAGTTGGCGAACCTGGACACACAGTCGAACTTGATGCGCTTAGTGTAACGTACTGATGGGTTGATCGCGGTGGTGAGCGGGTCAATCGGCAATGCAGGGCCTGAGAAGGCGGTGAAGCAGATAAAAGGTGATGCTGGTGGTGTACGGCAAACGCCGCGAATTTGAAAGTGACGGCACCGTGGCTTGGTCCTTAGTGGCGGTGCAGCAAGCGCGCTCAGACACTGGCGATGACGATAGAATTGCCATCGTTTCTGCAGAGAAGCCTCCAGTTGGGTGGCCGGTGTAGCGATCGCTGCTGTAAGCGGAGCGCCGCCAGTTCGAACTTGCTTGCCCATTCTTACAGCTACAAGCTGCAGTCGTGGCCTACTTGTCACCTACACCTCATTATTGACGCTTTCTGCGTTGGCAAAGCATTAGCAGTACCTACGCGGGAGGTCACCTCCCCATGTCCAGCGAACTCATCCAGGAACTTCGGTAATAAAACGGTAGGTGCGTCATGGCGGGTGGGCGCTTTTTTTATTCAATATTACCGAACTTGTAGAACTTTTTCGATGACAATGTCGCTTGCTGTTGGATGGCATTCAGACGAAAAAAAAACATTAAAATTTTAATGGGTTTTTTTCGTCTGAAAAACTCCACTAAAATTTTAACGGGTTTTTTTTTCGTCTGAATGCCATCTAACGGCATGGTTTATTTGAGTTATTCGGAACCCAACTCAAAATAGTCGAATTTTGTGGGTCGTAATAATTTATGCTTGGATGGCAATCAGACGAAAAAAACCCATTAAAATTTAAATGATCTCTCGAAATATTTTTTCCATTCCCATTTAAGTTGTGACGGGAAAGGGTCCAATCAAATCTGATTGACCGGGATGGCATTCAGACGAAAAAAACCAATTAAATTTTAATGGCTTTTTTTCGTCTGAATGCCATCCCGGCCAATCAGATCTCTCTGGAGATTTCAGTAAATTACTGTCTGTGCACACGTTTCCATCTGGCCACTTGACACTTTACATCAGCAAATAGGATGGCGAAGGGCGAGGAAGTGAAGAAGGCGTCCGCCGGCGGCCGGAAGATCAGCCCTATGCGCTTCATGCAGATGGCACTAGCCACGACGGTACTCTTCTCCTTGGCCTACATGTACCAGTTCGTGTCCGTGAGTATTTCGCTGCGCTCAGCCGGGGATTCAGAGGACGAAGACAGCGGTCTCGTGCGGAACCGGGTGCTGGGCCACTCGGTGCTACATCTGCAGGGCTTCGAGGCAGGCCACAAGTTCGTAAGTGAATACGACGTGGAGACCCAAGGGCCGTTATACATCCTGTTTATGAGCGACGCCGACGAAAGCGGCAAATACTGGTGCCCGGACTGTGAGCGCGCCAAGAAGCCCGTGATGGACGCCTTCAACCGCGCCCCAAGAGGCTCAAGACTCGTGGAAATCCGCGTGGGACCTCAAGCATACTGGGCCGATTACATGAACGAATTTCGACAGAACCAACTTTTCTACTTGGACCACATTCCTACCCTCATGCGGTACGAAGGAGACGGTAACTCGTCCACCATGCTTACCGAGTCCTTCTGCACAGACCCGGACTTGCTTGACTATGCATTCAGAGTGAACAAGCCACTGGCAGGTGAGCCCAACAAGAACAAGGTGCTGACCATGTACTCTCCTAAGGAGGTGATCGACTATCTGGGAACCTACGACAATAGCCATCCGCTCTTCTTGTTCTTCGTGTCGGGATTTCACGAGTTCAACGGACGTCTGTGGTGCCCGTACTGCGACCGCGCGGACGTGGCCGTGATGCATTATTACAATTACACAGCACCAGACAATGCGGTTCTGGTGCGCGTCGTGGTCTCGACGACGTACAAGCAGTGGAAGAAGAAGAAGAACCCGTTCAAACAGCCAGAGTTTCAGGAAAAAGTGGCACCCGTGCGAGGCGTTCCCTTCCTTGGGTTCGTTAAGAAGGACGTACCGGCCAATAAGATCAATGTGCACCAGTTCATGCCAGACTACCCGGAGACGAACAAGCTGAAGACGTTCTTCAAGAATAAACCGCGGACGGCACGGCCCACCTAGATAGCGATTAACCTCGTTTTGGGTGCACTAACAGTAAGAAAAAATGAGAATGTTCAAAAATTTGAATCAAAATGCAGTTTAGAAATGGGTCGTTTCCGTTAGAAATATACCAACATTAAAAATGAGCTCAAGCAATAACCGGCGACGGTCTCATGGTAGCGGTGCAGGTGTCTGGCTGCGTCGAAATGTGTGGCTGGTGGCCGCGACGACACTTGTGGTGATCTATTGCGTGTTCATGGTGTACACGACCATGTGGGCGCAAGGCTTCGGTGCTCAACAGCGCACGAAGGAATCAGATCATTTGGCCCAGGATAGCAACGCCATGAAGGAGGCGATGGCTGCATTGAAAGAAATGGGCGCAATCAGGGGAGAAAATACGCATGAAGAGGCGGAAGAGCAGGCTGAGGAAGCAGCAGAGGATGGCAGGGAACAACTCGTCAAAGGAGAAGGAGAACAGGAGAACGTGGGCGAGGCAGAGACCCACAACGCACACGCAGCAGCGACGACGGGACCCCGACTTCGCACAGGGAACGAAGGCACCGTCGCGTACGATGATAAAGTGCCTCTCGAAGATGTGGGAGATATTCCCATGGTAGGAGCGACTGCAGAAGTCGAGTTGGAAACGCGAATGAGTGGAAAAGAGAAGGTAACGCCGTCAAAGACGGATACAACAGCAAACAAAGGGCCTGCACAGTTGACGATATCCGTAACGAAGACAGCTAATGACAGTGATCATCTGTGGACTGGCGTGGAGAAGCTACCTCTTGCTGGTGAAGGAATTCCTGGGGCTATTCCTACTGATTCTGATGCTCAGAATTCAACACAAGCTGCTCAGGTGAAGATAAGTAATTTCAAGTCGAGACGATTTGATAAAGCACGACTCGTTTTGGAGACACCCGAACAATTGAACGCGTCGATTCCATTCGAAAAGCGACACCATACCATTTTCGGCTACAACGCTACCTTGGCGTATCTTCAACTCTATTCGAAACCCGCCAACTCGAAAGAAGAACTATTCCTGTTCTTTACATGCAGCGACAGCAAAGGCGGACGACATGACTGGAATCCCAATTGCGCAACGGCACGCGATAAGGTGTACGCTACTTTTGCCAAGTCACCGTCTACGAATCGTCTTGTAACAATTCATGCAGGTCCTCGCGAGGACTGGATGGGTGGCAACGCCTTCACAGACGATGATGATCTTCGTCTGAAGGCTGTTCCTACCTTAATGCGTTGGGATGGCGGTGCGCCCGGTGCTCTGCGTTCGACGTGGGGTGTGCTAGTGGATAATTCGATACTTTATGAGCCGTTGGTGCGCTACCTCTTCCGTAATGCCGACGAACAGGACAAACTATTAGCGAAGCCAGAAGTGGAGACCAAGAAGATCATTACACTGAGAGGTTACGTGCAGTACCGAGCGTTTATGGAATCTTACGCCAGCAATGGAACCTCGTACCCGCTTTTCATGATGATGGTATCGGGTCGGTTTCAACGCAACAACCGCCTCTGGTGTCCGTGGTGTCGGCAGTCTGAAATGCCGGTGGAGTATGCGTTCTACGCCTACGCACCGGCCAATGCCAAGCTCGTCCTTGTGGAGACCTATGACAAGTACATCGAGTGGCGGAATCCTGACAATGAGTTTAAACAGGATCCGCAGCTTGCGATGAAAGGAGTGCCGTGGTTCTATCGAGTATATCCGGGCCCACCCGGCGCACCACTCACGTATCAGCGCGTCAAGAAGAAATTCTACATACTCGAGGCGTTGCAGCAAGTTTTCCAAGACTCCGGCTGAATATCAGAGACTTCAACATGAGTTCAGATACTTTAGAAATGGTAGACAATATTTTAACCAATCAAAGGACAAGTTTCAAACGGTACGTGGCAGTGAACCGTACACTTCAAGACACGATGCCGACCAATGCGCACCGTCATGCCACCAGCACCCGGCGGCAGCGCTGGTTGATGGTGGCCGCAGGTGTCTTTGCACTGTACTTCATGCTCATGTTCCAGATGCGGCTATGGTCAGCAGCGAGTCACGCAGACCTGCGCGCCAACGTCATCAACGCAGACAGAACCCCTGTGGCAATTGATCGACCGGCGATCCAGGAGAACGTGCCACAGCGCGAGACAAGAGAGGATGTCGAAGTGACACAACAACCCTTTGACGTGCAAGCCATAGAGGCGGCACAGCCTGCTGCAGAAATAATGAAAGAGCAGCAAAGCTTGCGTGCTGTGGATCCACCCTTGTCGACTCCAGGTGCAGTCATTGTTTCGACGCCTGCACCACCCGCTACAGAAGCTGCTGCGCCAATTGCGGCGCTTGAAGCTTCTGTCACTTCGATTGCAAGCACTCAGGCGACACCTTCATTGACGGAACGTCACGATGTTGTTTCTGGATACGCTGCTACCATGAGGTATCTGGCCAACTACAGAGTTCCCGAAGGTTCCGACGAGCAGCTCTTCCTGTTTTTCGTGTGTGGCGATGAGAAAGGTGAGCAGACGACGTGGCGGAGAGTGTGTGTGGACGCATCCAAGTTGGTGTACGACGTGTTTGCAAAATCTCCGGCGCGGAATAGGTTGCTAACCATCCACGCCGGCTCAAAGCAGGACTGGTCTGCGGCGAATGCGTTCTTCAAAGACGGAGATTTAAAAGTCAAGATGATTCCTGCGCTAATGCAGTGGCATGGAGGGCGTCCTGGTGCGAAGCGAGCCACGTCCGGTATGATTATTGAGGAGAGCATTCTGTACGAACCACTACTGCGTTACCTATTCAAGAACCAGGACGTTCTAGATCCACTGCTAGCACCGGAAAAAATCGCTTCGAAAGAAATTGTAGTGTTGAAGGGATACAAGAACTACCGGCAATACATCGATGGTATAGCAGCGGGAAACAACCCGTCACTTACCGCTCCGACAGGCCCGATGTTCCTCTTTCTTGTCGCCGGTCGACTGGGAAACAACGATCGTCTCTGGTGTCCCTACTGCCGGTACTCTGAAATTTCGGTTGAGTACGCGTTCTACGCCTTCGCACCGCCAGGATCAAGGCTGGTGAAGGTTGAGACGGTGAACTCCTATGCCACTTGGAAAAACAAAACGGCAAACGACTGGAAAGGTGACACCTCGTTGATGGTGCGTGGTGTACCATGGATGTACCGAGCAAATCTAGACACGGAAGCGCGCAGCTTTAGCTTTGAACGAGTAAGTGAACGTTTTGACCGCCCGGAAGCGCTGCGAGGAATCTTCCAGGGCTGGAAAAACCCAGTGTAACAAAACAATAGAGACCTTCATGTCTTCCAGGGCTGGAAAAACCCAGTGTAACAAAACAATAGAGACCTTCATGTTGAACACGCTTTTCCCGATGGTCGTACACTAATTTCTAAAGGCGTAATCATTTCTAAAACTGTTTGGGTCTTCTGATTGGCTGATACATGGCTGTTTTCCTGTTTCTATCGCTTCTTTGTCAACTGATGACACTTGGAGTTCAGAGTTGACGTGGCAATGGCGGCGCCTCGGTATGGACGCGACCGGCAGCGGCCACACCGCCGTGGCGTTCCCGGGAGCAAGCGCATCAACCCGTGGTACCTCTTAGCTGGCGGGTTCTTCGTAGTGTACTTCATTTTCCTTGTGCGATGGGGATTTGGAAACGTTTCTAATCTGGAAGGTTCCGCTCCCACCGAGCAGCTCAGCAACCTGCGCAAGGCCAGCAACCCGGTACACGTACAGAGCGATGACGCTCTGGACGTAGAGATTGCAGCGCGACTGGAAGAACAGCGCAGAATCGAGGAGCGCGCGCGTCAAATCCCCATTAAAGTGGTGCTCCCGACCACTGCACCACCCACTGATCCCCCAATTGCTACAACGGCAGCTCCAATCGCTACTATTGCTGCTACAATGACCGAAAAGCCCAGAGATCTTGAGAAATTGGCTGTCGATCAGAAGCTGGAAGGACGTGTGCCCGGAATGCCAGTGCCGGTGGTGGAGGAATCGCCAGTAGTGCAGGTTACTGAAGCTGCACTTGCTCCCGTGGAGCCTGTCGTTGCTCCTGGCACTCCAGCATCTATTGCTACGAAGGCTGTACCAGCTCAGGCTATACCAGCTCAGGCTGTACCAGCATCGACAACGGTACCGTTCGCTGCAAGACATCAGACGATCTCGGGATATGGCGAGACGATGAAGTTCTTGGAAAACTACCAGTACAACCCGGACGAGTCGTTGTTCCTCTTCTTCATGTGCAGTGACGAGCAGTTTAAAGCAAGTGACTGGTCCGAGGAGTGCGCAAAGGGCAAACAACACGTGTACGACGTGTTTTCCAAGTCTCCCGGTCGCAACCGATTGGTGACGGTGTTTGCAGGGTCGGAGAAGTACTGGAAACACCAGAATGATTTCTACAACGACCCCGATTTGAGAGTGAAGGGCGTGCCTAGCATCATGCAGTGGGAAGGACGCAGTGGTCGGACGTCGGGAATGTTGGTTCAAATGTCTCTGTATGACGAGCCGTTTTTGAGGTATCTTTTCAAGAACACGGACCAACCGGAGCTACTTTTTGCAGCTGAAGATGTCAAGAACAAGCAGATAGTAACCGTGAACGGCTATGACGCGTACGTGGACGCCATGATCAAGTTCGAGAAGGAGGCGAATCCGGTCCCCACGTTTTTGATGATGGTCTCAGGTCGATTCAGGAACAACAACCGACCATGGTGTCCGTATTGTCGATATTCGGAATTGCCGCTAGAGTACGCGTTTTACTCCTTTGCTCCGAAGAATGCCCGATTGATTCGCGTGGAAGTCACAGACTCGTACGCGGAGTGGAGGAAGCGGACCGAATTCACTGCCGATCAGAACCTGCAGCTTAAGATCGTGCCGTTGATGTTTAAGATCGACCAACTTCCAGCGACCACCCCGAACGGTCCGAAATCGATCAAGTTTACCCAACACAAGATTCGCTACGACCGATTGACCCCATTACGCGAGCTCTTCACTAGCTATGCTTAGAGTCGAAGTGACATCGCCCATAGAGCTGGGTATTTTGAATTCTATAGAACTTGATCGTGTTTGTATTTTTACTGGTACTTGAGTACTCTAGCTAGAGTTGAGAGAAGCTACATCACCTCTTTAAACTTGACATCGAATATCGCTCTATCCTCTTTGCGCAGTGGGAGACTATGTCTGGAAGTCTCGGATGCTTGGTCGACGATTCCTCGCTCTCCGAGGAAAGCTAGGTATCTCGTGAAGCTCAAACCGAAAAACTCCTCTATCATTCTTAACACCACACTGATTTCACAGGCAGCGCTGTCTGGTTTTACGCGGACGTGTTGACGAAGACTTCTTAATGTGATCAGACACATGAGCACAAACTGTTGGAAGCGAGCTTTACGCTCGCGGATCATCTCGTCTTCTAGTGCATCTGCTGACGAGCTGGAGAAGACATGTGAACGCCACACATGACGTGACGGGAAGGCGATATCTAGGATTGAAGCTAGTACATTCTCGCAAATGGGACAGTGTGGTTGACGACGGCGTTTGTTTCGACTGAAGTGCTTGATGAGCTGTTGACGTAGGGCACGAAACTCCGAGAAGCGACGCACCACGCGCCACTGTTGCTTGCTCAAATGCACTTCAACCTCATAAAAGACTACGGCGTCTCCAGGTCGTTCAATATGTCGCCCAGTCACGTGAGCCAATAAATACTCCGAGTACTCTGCTTCTTCACGAAACAATAGTAGATCCTCGCTACTCTCTCGCACAACTGTGCTTGACCGTGGCGTCACACTCGGTTCTCTGGATGTTGTGGGTCTTGTGTTTGAAGACCTTGAAACGAGAGAACCGTGCGTGTGTCGTCTCAAACTGTTCCTGTCTTCGTTTGGAGTGTCACCGCTTCGATCGCGGGACAGCAAGTTGCGAGCCGACATGCTGCAATGCCAAAGCAGTCGCGGGAATCTGCCACCCTTTCCAGAAGCTGCCGGCGTTCGGGTTTCGCGGCTTCTAGTTGTCGGAAGTCCGAACGGGTCGGCAGGGAAGATTGACTGCCTCAAAGCCTCATCGAGAGAGCTACATGTCGACTCGGTCGAGCGCAATGGCGAATTCGACGCGCACATGGCGTCACTAAGCCTCATGCTTGGAATAGAAGAAATGAAATTTTTTCCTGGACTTGTGAAAGGCTCTAGCAGAATGAGAAGTGCCAGTGATGGAGGCTAGGCGACACTGCGCTGGACTGCTGGGTGTAGTGGCATCGCACTTTTTTTCGAGACATCAAACTGGACAGGGGAGACAGCGAACAGCGATGTCGGGATATGAATAGCGAACTAGATCCCTCCAGGGACGGACCAGCAAAGTGCAGAAGAGTTTTCTTGGCGTTTGTGTAACGAGGCAGAAAATAGCGTTGACATAGTCAGTTGGAAAAGAACTCTGCCGCGAGATCTAGACGATATGTGCAGATATTGTGCTGGTGGATCGCTTGGAATCGCATCATTGCTGCACTTCCACTGCGATGATTCGAAACGCTCGTTACTCGCGCGCTCTGCAAAGGCCATTTGGCCAACTGCGCACGTTCCGTCCCGAAGTTGTGCTGGCAAGTTTATAAAACTTTGACGAACGTATTGGCGTTGAACGGCGATGCTGTCGCCATCACAAGAGCCAACAGCCATGTGCTCGTCAGCAACGCATTTGGTTCTGAGCGCTCTCTTTTAACGCGCTGCTGAGGGCAACTCCAATATAATTTAATACCAGCTATTTGGAAACGGATCCCTTGACAAGCATTGGGAGCATAGCACCATGGTCTAGAAGATGAGCTTGAGCTGCACAGTCCTCCACTGTGCTGACGACCAACTGAGCTCAACTTCGAGGATCTACCGGCAAGCAGTTGTTGGAGCTATGGAGTGTATCTCTATGCTGTGGAGATATAATAGAGCACCAACCGTCTCGGTTCTGGGCTCAAAGGCAAGTAAAGTGGCCAGCAAAACGCAATTGCGAGATCATTTGTCAGCATTCAATGTAGCCATCTGAAAAACTTGACATTTCATCCCTCTCAAAATTTATGAATCGTTTTAGTATCGAGTTTCGGATCACCGTCTCAACTGCCACCAATTGCGTAGCACTCGCCCATGCGCCTGCTGCCAACGCGTTTCCAGCCACAGTCGCAGTCCTTCGTGCGATGGCGGTCCGTTGTGGCTTCTCCGGACTGGCGACAAACTGTGGCAGATTTTCAGCGCAAGGCGAATGACACAAGTGTGTCATTGACGACCAAAGACGTCGAGAATGTCGTCCGCGTGTGCACGCAGAGCGATCGGACTCGTGAGGCGTTAGACGCGATCCGCAGAGGAGACAAGCGTGGAGTGGCTGCTCCGCTGAGCTCTCACGTTCAGATCTGCTGCTCTTGGGCGCGCAAACGTCAAGCGGATCGGGCGTTGGCCATAATGCCAGACCTTCGAGCCCGCTTTGGTGACCAGTTCCAAATTGTTACGAAAAACCAGTCGAGCGTCTATGATCCGCTACTGTCGGTGTTTAAATCGCAGGGAGATTGGAGAAACACGCATGCTGCCATTGCACAGATGCACGAGCTGGGCGTCACGCCTACGCTACGTGCGTTCCGAGTGCTCATGTTGACAGCAGCGAAAGCTCGACGAAAGGATTCATTGATAACTACAGTGGAGTTTGTGGAGAAGAAATTCCCTGATGTCTGGACGGATGTGGCCACGCTTACAGCGATGTGCCAAGCGCTTGTGGATGTTGGCGAGTACCGACGGGTAATGGAGATTTACCGCAAGCTGGACGACGAATGGGTTAACCAAGAGGCCAGCACGATGCTGTTGAATCAGTTTCTACTTGCTGCTGTTCGCAATGGGAATACTAACAACGAGAAGAAGCGATCAAGCAAGAGCTTGTCGAATTTTCAGCAAGCGATGAGCATCTTCGATCGTATGCGCGAGTCTCGGAAAGCCGCTCCTGACGACTTCACGTTTGCGACGTATATGATGGAGCTGGAGAAACATGGCAAGTGGACTCAAGTGCTGGATCTATTCAATACAATGTTAGACACCCAAGCACGCAATCAGAACGTGCTAAGTAACGATACGAAGAAACCAGTGATCAATGCTCTGTCTTGTTCCGCAGTGATCCGAGCGCTACACAAGCTTCACGAAGCCAGTCAGGAGGAAAACAATGCTGAAGACGAAGCTGGTGTTTCTTCAAACTCAACAAGGAAATCGAAATCTCAGCAGCGCAAGCTCAAGCAGGACTTGTTAGTCGTCCTCAAGCAGCTTCCAACTGTTGATCTTCGCAATATCGGTCATGCGTCGACGTTAATTGATACGCTGGACGAATTCAAATTATTCACAGCAGCACGCCAGACATTCAAGCGCGTACTGGACGAAGGGGTCATTCAGAAGACTCCATGGCGACTTAAAGACGGGTTTGAGATCGATTTGCACACTTTTTCTCGCGGTGTAGCCAAGTGTGCGGTCGTATCTGCTTTCGACGAGAACACGCGCGCCCAACAAGGTATCAGCGACGTCTCCCTTGCTGGCAATGCACCACTACAGGATCTTCGTATTATCACTGGCGTTGGAAGACGTAGCCATACGTTTATGAAGCCTGTACTGAAGCAAGAGATCGTGGACTTGTTGACCAAGTCGTGCAGGCCACCGCTTTGGCCGTCTTCTCACCCGACCAACCCAGGCGTCTTGCTTGTACGTCATAACGCTTTACGTAAATGGCTCAAGAAAGGTGGGGCTATTCGATACTTTTAACGAAACAAACGTGGTCGTCCCCGTTAGTGCGAAGTAGTTTATTCTGTCTCCTTGGTGCTGCTGCTACCGCTGTACGTACACGTATCCTGCGGATCAGAAACTTTCCGGATGGCGTCCGTAATGGCGAAGAAGTACGAGTGAAACTCGATCTCTAAATTGTCCATAAACCACGATTCCTCATCAACCGCATATGGTAGTTTGTCTGCGGCTTCGATGAAGGTCATTGCGTCTAGTTCTTCATAGGTGAGACCTGTCATCTCGACGAACTTGCGAATCCGAAAGTCCCGAGGGATTTTCCCTACCGTAACACCATCAGGAGACTTTACAGTCTCAGTGTCCACCACATCTGCGTTGAGTTCCGAATCCGACGTCATACTCCGACGATTCCAGTTGGCCGATCCGATAGTTAAGAACACGTCGTCGATGATCATGATTTTACTGTGGATGTAGATCTTCCGGTCCGGCCTCGTCGTGTAAAGTTTGAGTTTGTTCGGGCATTTTGCTCGAATGGGCTGGACCATTTGGTACAGGTATTTAATGTATCCTGCATTCGTGAACGGCCCGGTTTCTTCGTTCGCAATGACGATAAGACGCTGGATCTTGGGCATCACTTCCATAATCGCGTCAAGAAGTTCCGGAACCAGTACGAAATACTGATCTTCAATGTAAATGAAGTTTTTGGTATTCTTGATAGCTTTGATATGCGCCTGAAACAGCGAGGTTTCACCTCGAGGAGCGAACTCCTTGTAGTGGTCGTACAAGCAACTAAACGTTCGGACAACCTGCACGCTTTGCTTTCCGATTTTTGCCGTAGTATTGCTGCTGACATAGTCCAGCCGGGGTAAGTGTTCGTACTTGGGGTTCTTAAAGTCCAGGAGGTCGTCTTCAAGACTCTGACACGGCAGGTAATCGGAGTTCCATCGATCTAAAAAGTTGTTCGCCACGTCCTTGGCTGCAGGCCCATGGATGCGAATATGACCGTCCATCCAGCCTTTTTCTCGAAATGTAATGTGTCCCGCATCTCTGATCGCAGTCACGTTGTGGTAAATAGTATCCCATCGGTCGTTAGCGAGATCGATCCCACCGACGTAGGCCACAGGCTGTTCGTGGGGATTCGAGGAGCGGTTGGCAGCAATCACCATATTCTTCTGGTGGTGCGAGGACAGAGCTTTAGGGAGACGATCGTCGAAGATGAAAGCAGCCTTTGCTCCGTTTATTGGCGACGGTGCGATGCTGTTGATAGCATCACGAGCTTTAAGGATGTAGGAAGTGTATCCAACGCCAATGTTGGCCCATGCTAGGATGTTGACACTGCCGCCTCTCTCCACGACACCAGTGAACACTTCCTTGAAGCCAGTCTTTTTACCCGTAGAATCGACGTCGGGTTTGAACGGAATGAGAGCTGCCATCCACGCAGCGAGCATCACTCGATCACCTTCTTTGGTCGTGCTGAGGTCGTCGTAAACTGCATTGAAGAATTCGTCGGATACTGTGTATGACGTTATCTTGTTGCCTGTTGTGTAAACCGCCATCCCGTCTCGAGGAATTCCACCTCGCGAATCTGTGATCTCGTCTTCTGTGAGGAACCAGTCTTCAGCGCCTAGTAGGGGTTGCCGGGGTTTAATGTCCGACCCGTCCGATAGATCCGCACTCCCACTGCTTGATGAATCGACTACGGTTCCTTCCCTGGTTGAAGACTCGTCGAATAGAGACGAGAAGGAAAAAGCCGACGAAGAAGTTGACAACACCGCCAACGTGATTGCCAATGCGATGAAGAATACCATCACGCTATTATAGCGTACCGGGTCGTACGAATACTGTGGAGCTTACGGGTTTGCGTGTGGGTGTCTGTGTCGACGGTCGACTGAGCACTGACGTGAATTCTACGTCGACGTCCACAACTCGTGGAATGATAAGTGAGGAATTACCTTGACTCAGTGAAAAGCACTGAGATGTCCCAAATCGATGGTGGAAATGGTTATTATTAGGACTGCGTCAGTGCAGGCATAGTAATACTAATTTATTATTAAAAGAGCAATAGTATCAGTTTTTCTAATAGTATTAACAATCCTTACAAAAATCTATATATAAGAATTAGTGGGTGTTTCGAAACCGACGCACACTCAAGCCCCTGTTTGGCGTTCTGACACTCACTATCACACCAAAACTCGCAATCTATACTAAAGCATGGCTCAAACCCGTTTGAAGGACCCCCCAGATTATGGAGGTGTTCCGTTCACCCTTGAAGTATCCGATGTCACTGCTGCCATATCGATGGGAATTCTTCACTCCAACGTCCCAGTTCAACAAACAGAAGCAACGGCCGCCGATTACGGTGTAGCGTACAACCGGCGGGACAACATCGGCACTGAATTCCATGCCTCGCAAAGGGCTATTCAAGATTTGTGCAAGGAATTCTCCCAAACTTGTGGATTCCAGCTGAAAGTCGCGAGCTTTTCTGCTAAACGGAACGGATCTGGCAACGCAAAATATGTTTGCAAAAAGCTTAACGGGCAGCAGTTTTTCGACAAGAACGCATCAGAGGAAACTCTATCTT